CAGGCAAGAGCCTGTTACGCATGGTTAGCAATGGTTAGCATGGTTAGCATGGTTTATCTCGGCAACGACTTCGTCATTGCCGAGATTAACCTCTTTGATTCTTGCCAGAGGCCACGTAAACTTCGCTTTGTTGGGTGGGCTTACAATCACGATGTCTCCAACTGCCAGATTGCGGGAGGATGATCCAGGAGAACGATGCGCTGGTGGTAGAGTGAGAATGTACTCGTGCTTCCAACGTCTCTAAAAAGGATCGAACAAATTTTGGCAGGGTTGTAAACTGCACGAATATTCCTTAGCACTGCTGTGTTTTCCTGAATTTTTTGTTGAGTCAGCATCCGGCAAGGTAGTAAATATAAATTTCTGGTGTTAAAGGAAATGCGCTGGCGTAATCGCTGATGGCTCGCTGGCTTCGAGAAAGGTGTAAGTAAGTGGTTGAGAATTAACAACAGCCTTGACGTCGGTAAGTAGCGCACCAAGTTCTTCAGCAGAAAGGCTACTTCGTCCGGATACTTTCCACAGAGATGTCGTCACCGATCTAATCCGTCTTCCCCACCAACCACCCCATCATGGAGCAGCGTCCACGATGAATTTTCATTTAATCCGCTGTGTTGTAAGAAATGACTGAAATCTGGTGTCTTCGATACGGTCAACTATCCCTTTCAACTTCCTTGTGCTTTCTTGAGTGATCGAGCGTTGTCTGAGTACATGACGCTGGGTAATCCTCTCCTAGCAGTAAATCTTCGGAATGCCAGCAGGAAGCCTTTCGTGGAGCCTGTGGCGGCAAGCTTGCCTTTGCTCTATAGCAGGTACATAACGCACCACGGTGTATCACTGTTTTCACTGTTCGCCGAGCTCTTATCTCCCAGAAGCGCTCTCTCAGGTGGTTTAGCGTGTCAGTTGTGCCTCCATGTATTGTGCGGACATGGGAATCTCGAACTTCAAGAAACGTCAAATAGTGATCGTCAGGTAGCACTAATAGGTGCTTTGTACCAGGCTGTCATCGAGGCTTTGTAGCCACCCACCAATTTTAAGTAGGTTTTCTTTATCTAAAAAATGGCCGCAAGTTAGTCACCTCTGAACTTTTAGTTAAAACCTGCTTCTTAAGAAGCGTGAACATTTCCTCATCAAAGGCTTCACTTTGAGTTTTGGTGTATCCAATAACGCTCAGCTGCCAATAATTCCTCCGTTTTCAGAGATCCATACTTCAGGCAACTTTTATCAGCGTTATATACGAAGCGTCGTACGCACAGTGTGACTCTCAGCAATTTGATGAGAGAGCTGTGCCTTGTTATGTTGAAAATTGGCGCTCTCCGCTCATGCGTTTTGTCATCTACTTGAAGGACTGTGCCAAATCAATTATTTCATGATCCTCTTAAGCAGCTAAGAGTTTCCTCTGTGGCCATTCGATGGACTCAGCCACAGCCAGCTTGGTCCATGCCACCGAACGTTCTTCTGTATCAGGACGTCCAACGATTCACCTCTTGTTAGCGAATTCTCAGGATTTCCATCACCTGGGCAGTGCTTCCAGCTGCAATTTATTATTGTTGTGACTGTCTTGATTTCAGTGATTCGATTTTTAACTAACACTTCTTGCATGACTCTGCTTGAATCTAATTCAAGACATTTGTAGAGCCTGTCCACATAAAAGAAAGTGGTCTGTTAAAAAAGGGGGTATATGTCTCTTTTACGTATTTCAGCGATCTGCTGCTTATTAGTGCTCCCATTAGCTTGAGGCGTGGCAACGAGAGAAGCTTCAATGGGGCAATGCTTGATTTCGCAGCAATGAGACTTGTGCTGATGTCACCGTTAGCTATCTCAGCGCGAACATATGCGCACGCTCCGTAAGCTTTAGTGCTGTAGTCCACAAAGCGCCATATTTGAGCGTTATGAATATCATCTACCTCTGACGTCACACGGGGGGGGGGGGGGAGGAATCGACTTTGGGAAGGTGAACCAAATCATTCCTCTAGTTCTTCTACTGCCATACTATATCATCTGGTAGTTCTTCATCCCCGTTGACTTTATGAACCCACAGCTGCTAAAATAAGATCTTCCCTCGTATCACGAAAGAAGCAACAAGTCCCAGTGGGTCATGAACTCTAGATACTGTCTGCAGAAGAAAGCGCTTTGTATCTTGAGCCTTCTCCTGGAATGAGAAGATATTTTGGGAGCTGTAAGTAAGGCTGTTGGTCTCCCTGTTCCATGTCATTCCGAGGACTTTGGTTTTGCATGACGTTTGTCCACCACTCTTAGGTTCAGCTGGCTCCTTTGAGTCGAATATGTCCTGCAGCTTTTGAGAACTTGTTCACTTTCTGAATGGCATTCCAGCATCATTCATTATTTCTTTTGTAGTAGTGTATAGCTCTACAGGTTTTTTGTAAATTATCTGCCCCAAAAAACAAATCGTCTACATGTAATGACTTGGCCAGTAGTTGAGCTACTCTCTGGTGCTCATTGTCTACACATGTTTTGAGGTGATGCTAAATGGTCGCTGTTTACATGAATGAACTTGACGTTGATTCGAAAGATACTCTCGTCATTCGCCAGACCTGTATGTTGTCTTTCCTGAATGGTAACGTTGGCTTCTAAGCAAACCACGAGAACCTAAAGAGATCTCGGTCTTGTGCACTAACACCAACCTGCAGAAACGCTTTCTCTGTGTCTGCAGTCATTGGGACCTTGTACCAGCGAAATCGCATGAGATCTTGTAGTAGCTGAGGATTCAAGTTCGGACCAGTTAGTAAGCAATCATTCAGCGATTTCTGGCCTCTTGCACGCGATGAGGCATCAAATACCACCCTCAGCTTCAAAGTGAGCGAGTCTTCACGGATAACTTCTCAGTGCTGCATGTAGTATGTACGCTCCTCTTTGGGTTTCCTTTAGGAGGCTGCTTCTCCACCAGTGTTGCAACGTAGAAATAACGAGACACAAGACTTTCTTGTGACGAGAACAGCAAGAATTTATTGACACACAAGAACACAAGAGCAGTCGTCCCAACGTCGTCTTTCTTGGACTGCCAGAAGCTGCACCTCATGTTGTTCGCTTTGTTCTCTGTTGTGCTGCCGGCTATTAATCGTGACAGTACACAAAGGACACAGCTGCATCTATATCCCGTTTAGTTTGGCGATGTCATACTTTGGTTAGAAAACGGTACCACCATGCGTTAACTTATTACCATGCGCGAATCTCGCACCACATGAACACAATGCATGAATCTTGCTAAGGTGGCATTAGTGTGCAGACCTTATTGCCTGGCTACTTTTTAAGAGTGAAACTGTTAGTCAAAGTATGAAGACAGCAATGGTATTCAGAAAACTCGTGGTACTGTTTCTAAGCAACCGCTGAGCACAGCAAGCGTTCTACAATGAAGACCATCAAACAATAAAAACTGAAACAAAAAACATGAACAGTTTCACCACAAGGGTGAAACAATGAATCAACAGCAAGAAATTGTAACATTATATGAAGTAAGGCTGGCAGCTAACTTTTTTGGATCCTCTATTATATAACTTTTTGAAGTGCTGGTGTAAGAGAGTATGGCCACTCTAAAGAGAAATTCTCATTTCACATTGACTCTTCTCTTCGAGAGTGCACCGTGTAGAAGGGTACACGAGCTGTGCTCTGATGCTTGCCGAGATGGAGTGGGCACCAGCGTATGTGACCACACCAATGAAATCGAAGTTCACAGCTGCTGCTCACGCAACCCCCTCCCCTGCCTTGGATCTTTCCATGCTCATCCAATACGGGTGCTGCATTTGCTTTCTGCGTGAGCATTCGATGGCAGGTTTAGCATGCGGCGAGATGTTACTGCATGTGCCCTTCAAATGATGGAGATGAGCCGGCTCATTTATTCTCTGCTTGAGCAGTTTTCATTCCCCTGCTCGCACATTTTTACTTGTGGGTAGAACATAAAATTCCTGGGGATGTTATCAACTTGGACTTTACATGGAACATGGCATTGACTGCGAAAACCCGTCGAGAGTGTCCATATAACTGCTATTGCTATGAAAAAAAGCAATGTGCTCGTTGCATCATTGCTAGGCAATAGCATGGATAAGTTTACCATCCCAACTGGATTGAACTGCAGCCTTTCTGTAATGGTTTGGCATGCATAGTTTAGTTGCATGGCAGCCAGATTTCATGCCTGCCAGCTTCAAAATGGCAAGTGTGCCTCTGGTTTTGCCATGAACTTGATTCGCAGCATTCTGAAACTCAAATAAAAATATTGGTAAGCTTAAGTATACAATTTTTAACATTTGTGGTACACAGCACCAAACCTGAATTGAATTCAAAACTAGTGGAATTTAAAATGCTTGCTTTAAATATTATAGCTGACAACAAAAGGGCCATCACCTTTTGTTATAGATGTGTTTGCAGGTAGGGTAGAACAATTCTGATAATCCTTTATTGTGAGACAATAAAAACATTTCTTTTTCTTAGATTGTCTTAATCAATAGGCACTGCAAAAAAAAGTTGAACTGATAGTATGCGTTTAGCGTTGAGAACATGACACATTTATTAAAGAGCAAACACAAGTCAAGTGATCAGCGAACCGAATCGAAGCAATCACGAGCCCCAATAACAGTTCTCGTCCTTTGCTGGCACTGCTGTTGGTGCCCTATTCATAGTACAGAACAAATTTTTTTCAGAAAAATTGCTCTTTAAAGGGTGGTGACACGCACTGTATCTGATAGATGTGGCTCCCCCTAAAGGGCACGTGACCAGCCCAATCAAACTTGCTGTTGGGCTCATCATATAATAGAAAAACTAGGCGCAACTTAGCACTCTTTCATTCCTGCACACATGATTTGTATGTGTGCATGTGTGTGTGTGTGTGTGAATGGTGAAGTGCTTAGTTGGGCCTAGCACCTTCATTATAATGACCATGCTTGTTTCATGAAATGCCAAAGGTGTAGTGCAGCTACGCTCGCTAAAATATGCTCAGTGGTGCTACTTAATTCATCAGTTGAGGCAGCAGCTTTTACACATTGTTATTGCAGGGAGCTCGTGTGCCAGCAGATGCCTGTGAATTGACCCTCGTCGACCGCATCTTCACTCGGTTGGGAGCTAGTGACCGAATCACTTCTGGTGAGAGTGGCTTCAATATTCCCTGCTAAGCTTGCATGAAAAACAGTCATTTTGTCTAGGGCTTCTTCTGGATATGCTTTTAGGTTGCGTGGGCATTTTTTATATATCTAAAAACATTGACATCAAGGCCTGGATTGATTTAGGCAGGCATGCGTGCGAGTTAAAATTTGTACTATTAACTCAGAGAATCAATAAGTAAGGTATTTTTTCCACTTGTTGTTAGCAAAAATGTAGTGCCCGGCATCGACTACTCCCATGTTGTGGCCTGAACACTTCAAGGATGTAGTGGAGCAGTATAAACGTAAGGAGAACCAGACTAGTAACCAGTGCTTTCCTCCTTCCTTAAGGGTGCTGACTGTGCAGAGTGTACTGGCTGGTGCTTGGATGAGTTGCATTGTTGAACAGTTTAGCATGTTTTAGGTTGAACTGCGAGTTTTCTTATCTTTTATGGTGATGTCATGCAATGAAAGGTCACTGGGAAGCTACTGTTCCATGTTTGGTTGTTCTAAGAAATACAGAAAAAAAAAAGCAAACTGCCATCTGAAATGTATGCAGCATGCATCACCTAATGCGCAGCGTTTGTGGTTGCTTCATGGTACATCATTTGTGTTACATGACAAGTTCTATATTGGCAAATACCACAATATACCCAAAATGCCCAGTGTTTTATTTGGCCAAATGACAATTGGATATAGCTAAATGGACGACCAAACATAAGCGGTCAAGTACAGCCCTGTCTATTACAAAGCATCTAAGTACCCCTCATGCAGCCACCTGTGCTGTTTTCGCTTTGTTTTATTGTTACATTTCAGTATGATGGGTTTGGCCAAAACAATTAGTCTCGTAGCTCAGTTTTACATGATCAATGTAGTTGGTGTGGCTGTATTAACACGAATGAGAAACCCCTAACCCTTTGACGTGGTAAAGGGCATGACTCATTTAACTTGTGCTGCGTACCGGCTTTGTGCAACCCGAACATTCACTGAATTTTACATGAAAATGACATGGCCGCATCCTTTTCGCGATTCTACAACTTATGTAAAATGGCAACATGTATCGTGCACGATGTGCAATATAAGAGCCAAATAGTGAGGGGGGGGGGGGGGGGGGTTTCTCACTTCGTGTTTGTAATAACTACCTCAGGGAGACAATTTCTTGAGTAATCAAGAACCGTGTCTGACAAGTCGCGCAAATGTGTTTACAACATATAGACAGTTCCCATCATCTAAAAGCCAAGCAAAATTAAACCGTGTTGTCACGGTTGTCTGTTGTCCCTATATGCCAGTTTTACTGCTTGGCTTCGCGAACAACAGCCAAGATTTTCCGAAAGCCATACAACTGGTAGACAAAATTACGTTAAAAACGAAACGAAAAATAGCTCTTATGCCGATCATAGGCTCAAGCCCAGGTGCGCTTGGTGCCTCATTGGCGGAAAAAACTTTTTTCACTTCATCGCCACCGCAATCCATTTAAACACCACGACTATAAAAAGAAAAAGAAGCGTGCTGTTGTAAACTTCAGCATCTCTTTTTGTGTGCCAGCACCATCACTTCTAATTTTTTCCATACCGGCGGGCAATAAACCAGTGAGTAATAAGAGTTCATTATAGGTCAAGCATGAGATAGACAACAATTTGTGATCAAAAAACAAATGCCGTCATTTCTAAGAAATTGCAATTGCTTGATCCTGCACAACTACGTGTACAGGTTATAGTCGCCGCGACAGCATAAGCAAACTGATAGTGAAAAAAGAAATGTAAATATTACGGTCCAGAAAAAGAATTTATTGTATCTTCAAGGGGTGCCAACACTTGCTTGACCTGCTCGAACAGGTCGAAATATTCTTACGTTTTTCAACAGAAAGAGTGCTGAAAACACATGACATCGACCACTTGCGACACGTTCGTGCCGTGGCATATTATCATATTTGACCCCAAATAGATCGAAACCTTTCAGGGCGTCTCACAGACTCATTTCCTAGCTACACTGCATAACTTGAGAGGAAATTGAGTGCACCAGATCGAAAAAAAGTTATGCCAACTGCAATCATACGAATACCTTCCGTAGAAACGTGGAGCTTTGGACATGCCAGTTGGTTGCCAGACCAGGGACAGCGCCGCCCGCTAGGCAATATGGTGGTGCCTACATTAAAAATGTCTATAAAAGGAGGATGTGTTGGAGTCATGAAAATAGTCTCACTGATATTTTTATGGGCACTAGGCATTTATACAATACGAGAAAGGAAAATTTAAGGACACTTTGTAAATTCTAAAATGTGTTTGGCAAAATCCTGTGGCCATTTGACTGACTATGCTATGTCTGTTTTTTTATACTCCGAGTGGAATGGTACACAAATGGAATGTGTGCATGTTTTCTTCTCTAATTTTTACTCCAAGACATGAGGCTAATGCGCCTCCATTCCGCATGCATTTTTATTCTCGTGCTTTGGGCACCGTGCTGATGCCATCGCACACATTCCAGCAATCATAAGGCTCATTAATCCCTTCCCCAAGAGTGGGAGACGCCACAGTTACCACGCCTGGCACAATGCCTTAGTCACCATGAGTATTAGACAATAAAGGCTTTCTCCTTAACACAGAAGGGTGGCTTTATTTCTAGAATGTGCAAATAGCGCAGTGGTGGGAAACATGCGCCAACCTGTGCCAACTGGGAGTGACTGCACTATACTGCTCTAAAAAGGTCTTTATTTCTTTTCTTTTTTTCTTTTGTCTAATTTGTGCCATGGCCGTGCCACCAAGTGGTTTTGGAACTAAAAGTAATGTTGACAGTGTGCATCGTGAGCAGATATTACGTGATGTTTGCCATCTTGTAGACTTGCCCTGGGGATTTACTAATGATACAACCGCCGTAATCTAAATCAATATCAGTGACAATGCTGTAGCCATACTGCAATGTTAGGTTTCCGTAAGCGATGCGCAATCCTCAGTGCTTCAGTGTGCTTGAAAGTGGATGGAGGCACATTTTGGTTGTCTCTTAATAAAAGTGTCTAGTATGGGTACAACAGTGCTACGATTGCTTTACTGTACACGTGCATGATAGCATCAATGCTGCGAGGTTTCTAGGTGGATGACCCAAGATGTTCAACACCGCTACGATGAGCTGCTATTTTGCTTCTACAAAGCAGTGTGCGCTTCACTGTAGTCCCGCACAACGAGGTTGGAGTGATCAGCCGCTAAAAGCATGCAATATGACTAATGTAGCGCTACGCTACATGTGTGCCTAAGCACATAGCTGAAAAAACTTATTGCAATAAGGTTGTCGGCAAAGCGTCGTACTGGCACGTTCGTTGGTGGACACCGCCTTGTTTTCATTCCTTCCTAATGCCTACCATCGAAGGAGTTACTACAATCCCACAAGTCAGAATCATTTACCCATGAATTTTCGCGCAATTGGTCTAGTTCAGGGCAATAGTATACAAAAATTACTCAAAAAGTTATTATGGTACACTGTACTGGTTAGTGTAGGAAGAACCACTTACGCAGTCCTTGAAGGCTCTATGAGACACAGTTTGGAAATTGTCATTATACTTATGTTTTAATCCTTAGTACTTTTAAAGCAAAAACGTATTGTATTGAACCTCATTAATTCATATCTATTCTAAACATACTAACTGTTCAAATGTACTTGGCACTAATCCTCGACTGATTCTCATGGACTAATACATTTGCTGGCCAATTAAGCTGTATTTAAGGAAACGATAGCTTTTTGTGCTATAAAAGTTAACTGCTCCACCGAATTTGTCGACACCACGATGTGTGGCCAATAGTTTGTAATGGAGAGGCATAGGAAGAATAATGCTGCTACATTGGAACACGAAAACCAACTGGTTTATCTCAGAGTCCAAGCGCCAGTACTGTTCGCACCACCGCTGACCTCGTCGTCGCTGCCCCAGCACATCAGCACTTGACAGGGCCCCCTGGCCATATAGACCGAGTATTGATCAGTCCAGTGCACATGATTTTTCAGTGTTGTGGCGTAGTGAAGGTTGAAGGGGAAGTGTAGAAACAGCAAATATGGTATCAATTGCTGAGGTCTGTACATAAGCGTGCTTGAGCCTGTCGATTGGAACTTTTTCTTCTCTGACACCCAGACGAATTGTGAAATGCTTGTCTTGTCCCTCGATCACCAAATGCAGTCCAGTGTACGATGGCTGCACAGGGGTGGAAGTGCTGCGCCAATTGTGCCATGATGTGCCAATCTGGCCTGCTGCACCTAGCCGCGCCTAAATGGTAATTTGAGCATGTAACGCCAAATTTAGTCGAGACTTTTATTATTGATCGAGCAATACGTGTGGGCTGCACAAAAGACACAATCACGTCTATATAAAATTCTGCCTGCATATCAGATCACACATGAATCTTACGCCACATATACACAATTCATGGTTCTTGTTAAGTTGGCATTTGTGGGCATACCTCATTATGTGACTCTTATGTATGTTTTGATGTATGTTTTTATGTATGTTTAGGAAAGCTATAAAGACGGCAGTGCTGTTGCAAAAAGCTCGCTGCATCATTGCCGAGCCCCTGCTGTGCACAGCGTTTGCTCGGCAACGGTGCAGCGAGTTTTTTAGAATAAACTAAAGCAAATTGTAAAAACCTGTGTGACTGGCTTAGCAATGATTGTGATAGCAGCAATGTGTAGCGTTGTAGTGGTGATGTTGCACGCTCCTTTCTTTCTATTTTGATTACCGCTCCATCATGCGTGTAATGCTGCCTAGCGCGAATTGAGCCCGTGTGACTGGGGACTACCTAGATAGTCTTAGAACATTTTCATGAGATTACGCCCACAAAGCGTACATTACAGTTTTTTCTGCAACTTAAGCAGCGCTAGCGATAACGCTGGAATCCTTGATAGCACATGTATAAATGTCGCCACACTTTGCTGTGTGGCAGATTATCAATGGTTGACATTCTATGTTCACTGCTATCAATCTACAGCGTGTATTGTTTGTAAAGTGACGGTTCGTTTTTCGAGCAC